TATACTATACTATACTATACTATACTATACTATACTATACTATATTTATGTCAGATGTTTACTAATGTTGGTATTTTTTTCTAGATGAAAAAATGATAAAATGATAAAAATGTGATCAGGTTGTAATTTTAAGAAGTGCTGCTGTAGAGATAAAGTCACAACTCTGAGTCATTCCTTAGTTCTTTCTTATTAAACCTCATTTCCCTTATTTAAAGTGTAGTTAAAATTAACCAGTTATAGTTTATTACAGTTTTTTTATTTACTTAAAACAAAGACTTTCAGTTGTATCATTATTTTTAACCAGCAATGTAAATCATCTTAAGACTACAATTTAATGCAAAAGAGTTTGTTTAAACTCTGCCTTAAAACTATWTTAACGTTATAAACTGACTAACACAGTGTGGTAGAACTCAGTACACAGTACTCTTTCCTTCCTGTAGTCTTCTGTGCAGACCCCTCAGCAGCGTGGAGAATCACTGAAACAAACAGTGGAGGTCTGAGGTCTAACTCAACCAGCTCATCTCACTCCGACTGGGCTGCAGCCTCCTCTGAACAAGAAGCTTTTGGCCAACATGTCTCATCTGCCCAAACACCAGCTGTTACCTTTGATCTTGGAAGTGAATGGGATGACTGGGGGGACTTTGATGACCAGAACTTGGTTCAGGCCAGTGAAACATKTGGACTTCTGTGTGAAACAGACCATCAGTGTGAGAAGTACAAGTCAGGTAGAGAGAGAAACAAAATACTGTCAGTTTTCCACATCTCATGGTTCCACTGTGGTGCTTCACTTATCTTTGGACACTCAGCAACATCTGACCTCATTTTTTAATATTCCTCCAGCGTTCTCACGCTCCTGACAAACTTATGTTTTATTTTAAGCAGGGTACGGCACCCCCTCTGCAGTCAGCTGTCCACAGGTCAAACCCTTGAGGACTGCAGCACCAACACCTCTGAGGTGACGCCAGGAATGATGCTGTGGACAAATAGTATATTACCTGTTGTAGATAGCTCTGTCAAAAGCCTCAGTTTGGAGAAAGAGTTTAAATTTGACCAGAATGAGGAGCTAATGGCTAGTCCAAATAAAGCCAACACCACACGTGTCATTTTAAAACACAACTGTTTTTACAAACACTGTTTTATTCTCCTCTGTTCCTTCATACAGCAGACCCCCAAATTTCAGCACATGTGAACTGGTCATTTAGCATTTCAAAAAAGACCATAACTGTGTCAGAAATTGATTGTCCAATCCGATTTGTAATATCTCCTTGGTTCAATCAACACAAAAAGTTGCAACAACAACTGTTGTTGCCTGTTATTCAAAGATCTGTGAATGTCTGAGGCTGTGAACCGTGACATAAATAAATAAAGGTTTCACATTCAAAKATTCATGATTTTATGCTTTGGTTTATTGCTGAGGCTTCTTTTGATCTTTTCACAGTAAAAAATAATAATTTTAAAACAGTCTACAGACTAAAACAATCAGCTGGTTTTACAACCTTACAGACTGTAACACTATGACTGCAGATTATTCTGAAATGTGTTTATTTAACAAACACAACAAAACAAAAGGGGTTTTATGTTTTTATATCTTTAGTGGTTTTAAACCTGATTGAACTGCTGTAAACATTTAGAGATTGGAGCAGCTTTAAGAGAGCAGCGCTCCACTTTAGTCCTGACTGTATTTAGTCCTGTTGGACATAAACTTTTTTTTCCACAGACTCAAGCTGTTCAGAGACCTTTATTCATGACATTTACACAGAATAAAACAAAAACAAATAAAAAATAGACACAAAAAATGACTGAAATTACAGTTATCT